ACACGGGTCTTTCCGAATTAAAGAATAGATCGCCAGCAGTAAGCTGTTTTTTTTCTTTTTCATTCTCCTGATTATGATATCTTCCTCCCCGGTCTAGCCACCGGTCGGGCAGTCCCTACCCCCCAGTGGGGAGAACACACTCACAAAATGCTAGTGAGGGTAAAGTATAACTAGCAGCAAGACCGAAATATATATATATATAGTATAAATAAGATCCTATACAAATGTATTCCAGCCCGCCTACCCTCGGCACAATATAATATATTAGCATAACCAACAACAGATGTACCCTATACGAGTACTCTCTATTAGGTACTGTACAGGTGCTAGACCAGGAGTATATCTAGCGAAATATCTCCTACAGTACCGCACTTGTACTCTAATGGAGAATACCGGTACTATCACTCCCCCCCCAAGCACTAGACAGTACATATATAGATAGATATACCCAAAATCCAGAGTATAATTACGCATTCCTAATATCCTTCACATCATCACCGCACCCAGAAGAGAGAAAGAGAATACGCGGATGTCAGCGGCACTGCAAAAATGTCAAGACGCACGGTACTCGAGTAGTGAGTCAGTCAGGGTCAGCGAGTCACAGTACCGAGTAAACAAACTAACAAACAAATAAGAATCTGTCGACAAAACCAAGGATCCGGTATGGTGCTTTCCGGGGCCTATACCACGAAGCCAAAGGTTCAGCCCAGCGTAGTCTAGTGGGGTTCCTTAAACATGGGCGGACGGACGGACGGACGGGTATGCACATGTTGTCTCTCTCGGATTCCGGCGAGTGTGTCGGATCCCTGTTCTGCATCATATTTGAGTACTGTACCGTAAGTGACAGGCAGGCCTTGCCCGACCTGCAGGTATGAATGCTGTACTCGTACAGTACTATAACCGACCGACACCCTGCTGGACGCCGGTCTTTCCAAAAGACGGGCTCTTGCCCTACAGAATGTGACACCCTGTCTGAGACGTCTGGGGCTGCAGTCCAGTACTCGAGTACAATAGGCAATAGGCGACTATCGTACCAGGCTCTTGGGACGCTTGGGATCTGGGCCAACTCCCGAGAGCCCAGGCACGATAGATTGCGGAGGTCCCCGTAGATAACTTTGCACATCAGTCTCCCCGCCGGTCGGTGATCAATGGCTGACAAAACCTAAGGGCCTGTTTGGATGAAATGGTTCCATTCCGTTGGCCCATACAAATAACCATTTCCTTCCTTTTCAAAAGGTTGTTGCCAAAAGGCCGTTTGGCACACCCGCTATCAACCCTTCTGTTTCAATGGTTGACCGTTAGCAAGGACCTTTTCCACCAGTCAAACCATTTCGCAACCGAATGGTTGCCACTTCTTCCTTTTTTACCAAAAAGGCCCTAACACTACTACACTACAAAAATTGGCTAAGTAGTGAGGTCCACACCATGTTAGGAGAACCCTACACTACTCGAGTAATGGCTTAAGAAAACAAGTTGCCGATAACCAACATATCATTATCATAAAGCTACAAATGACTCGCCCTATCCATACACCACCAGGTACCAAAGACACATAAAGTAGAAGAATCTGAAAAAATGAGGCGTGCTACCCTTCGTCCTCCTCCCCATCCTCGTCTTCCTGCTCCTCCGCTTCGGTCGAAGGAGCGGCACTTGTCTCTCTGCCGGTCTCACTCGCAAGATCATCTACTCTCGGAGGCTTCGTCATGACAATAGTATCATCCCCCTCCCCATCATCCGAAGCCTCTCCTGCGGTCGCCTCGCTAGCTACAGCCTCCGCCTCATCCCCTGTAGCTGCTAGCTCGTCTCCTGTAGCTTCCGTTGCACCATCCCGCTCTAGCTCACTGACAATCTTCCCCAACAAAAGCTCTAGCTTATTGAGTGCGTTCCTGGATGGCGCGTCCGTGGCAACCTTATCCCCGATCACCTGGACGACAAGCTCGTACAACTCCCTAAGTTTTTCAGGGGCGGCATCAGCCGGGATATAAAGCTTTCCAAGCATTGTGCATAGCACTTTTTTCTCCTCTTTGTTACAGCTACTGCTGCTGACGCGTTCCAAGGCGTCTATGGCGAGATCAACGTGCACATTCGGGTCGACGATCTTTTCTTCAATGCCACGGCGACCGGCTTGAACTCCTCCGCCAACGTTCTTGCGGGGGTCGGTCCAGTCGACCATTTGTGAAGCTGTGGTGGCGATTGAGACCATTTCTTCCTCTTCGCCCAAATTCTCGCGGATCAGAAGTAGCTGGTGGATCGTGCTCACAGTTATCTATTGATGTTAGTTACGATCCTGCGATGAGGAAAGAGCGGTGAACCTTCTGCATTTTTGTTTGGTTTTCAGGGCGGGAATGACAGTAGACTGGTAGGAAGTATGTTAGGATCTGACGAAGGCTTTGGTTATCTACTGTTGCTGAATCAAAATATGCGATCACAAGCACTTTGAGCAGCTAATAAAAACCGGTCAGTACCTCCCTTGAAACACCTATTGAAGCTTTACCTCTTCGTCTTTGATAACTTGCGCAAGCATCAGTTTGCAAACCACTTCTGCAGCAGTAGACTGTACTTCCGCTACTTCATCCAATTTCAATGCTTTCGCAAACATCCTGTAGAGAGTTCTCTGCTCCACAGCGCAGCTATCTCCCTCAAAGATCGCGGAGCCATGGGTAACCAAAATGTCTGACATGATATGAAGCGCTTCTATCTGCAGTGCCTCGTGGCCCTTGTTGAAACAGTGAGCGAAGAGAGTAAGGTTCTCTTCGGCAAGTGTCTTTGACCAAGTTAGTAAATGAAACAAGAGAGCTTCAGGAGGCAACTACCTTGTCTAAAAGACAACTCAATCCCAAACATCTCAGTCCACGTTCCCTCACCGGCGCTTCATGACTTCGCACAGCAGGGACGACTAGACCATTCAGCATGGTTACAAGATGGGTATTCTTCTTCAAACTCCCCGATACGTTCTCAAGCAGGCATTGAGCAATATGAAGGCACTTAAGGTTAATCATGAGCTCCTTCACAGCTTTTGCTTCCTCATCTTCGTCTTCCCCCTCTCCTTCCTGTTCTTCCTCTTCCCCATTCTCCTCGGCGCCATCGATATCCATCATGTCCGTATCCCCGACTTCATCGGCGGGCCTACTCCTAGACCTCTTTCTGGCCGATCGGGCAGCTTTCGTTACTGGCGTACTAGCTTTCACGGAAGGCGCCCTCACAGTAATAGCATCCTCAATGCCGTCGTCGCTGACATCGCTCTTCGCTGAATGAAAGCTTTCATCGGCAACCCCAGCCTCGTCGTCATCATCGGCGATCCGATCATGTACCTCTGCAATAACCTCCAAGATTAACATGCAAAAATCGCCCTCACCTACACAAAGCTTAGCAAGGCATTCAATTATCAATTTAGTAACGCCTTCAGGTAATTCCGGTATGGCGAGACTTTCGCGAAGTAAGGCAAACATCTTTCTCCGCCCAATTTCGTCCCCATAGTCCATCCTCGAAGCAATCATCAAAAGTTGCTCAGCCACAAATTCCCAAGTGGCTGCCTCCGCATCCTCGCTCTCCAGGGCGACAACAAGCTTATTCAGGTATCTTTGAAGGTGAAGCGCTAGCTTTGTAACCTCAGGCATTTTTTCGTCAATTTCTCCCGCCTCTCTCTGGACACTCGGAAGATCTCGGCAGTAATCATTGTAACTCCTAGCCAGAAATGCAGACTCTGCGGTAAGATCTTCCCAAAATTCATCACCAAAGGTAATTTTCTCGACAAAATCCTTCCTCTCCTCCCAGAAGCCCCTCAGCGCGAGCTCCTTAACCCCACCTTGAGGGCCGTCACTGGCGACATCCAAACGCTCAAGAATTTCGATTACGTCACCGTCGACATCTTCAAGCCAGCGGTAGTTGAACATCCGTCTTGCAGCTTCACGGACAGTCTCATCACGGTCATTGAGGCCCCACCGAAGAAGCTTTTCACGCATCCCAATAGAAAGGTGACGGAAATCACCAAGGCTAGGAAGGAGACGTGTGAAAACCGAACGACGGGTTACTGGATCAGTATCGCGGGTTCGCTCGAGAAGGTAAGGAAGCGTCTCGGGAGTAGGGTTGATATTATACAAGATTGTACGTCGAACATCTCTAGCAGCGATATCAGCACAAATACCACCCAAAGACGCAAACGACAAAACATAGATAGCAAACACTCACGCGCTAGGATCATTCTGCATAGCTTCAATCAGAGCAGCTAGCACATTACCATCCCCCTCCCCGTCATCGTCCTCACTGTCATCCTCACTCGTTCCAACACCCATCTCAAGTAATTTTATCACGCCAACCACCGCCTGGACTCGAACAGGAGTTTCTCTATCCTTAACCCGCTTCAAGAGCTCAGATCTCAATTGTTTAAATATAGCGTTCGACTTTGTAGAGTAATCATAAGGGAATTCTGGTAATGCGTTGGCTAATAAAAGCGAGAGAAGCTGTGTCGTACGATATCGGACCGTTTTCTCTCTCGAAGGTATCAATGGCAAGAGGAAAAAGATGAGTCGAAGAACGAAGCGAATTGCAGATGTTTCTTCTACAACTTCTTCCTCTCCTTCTACCATCCGTTCATCTTCACCGTCTTTCTTCTTGGGTTTATCTGCCCAAGTAGGTCGCCTGATCAGTACCAAAGACTAGCAAATTTTGCGCGATTTTCGGAGAAAACCGACCTTTATCAAGTAGCCCCCTCACGAATATGTCTGTGAACCTCAAACATCTATCTCCCACAACCTCACTTTTCTTGGTCATAAGAACCCTATTAAGAAAACCAGTGAATTCTTTAACAAAGGCCTTTTCTCCAACCCTCCCACCACCAATGGATGAGCCCAGACGCCCAGTACCTGCAGCACACTGTTCCCAAATAGACCTCATCGTAATTGCCAATTTCCTGTGACCAGCGGTAGTCTTCTGGGCCGATTGAAATATAGTCGCAATAGCATCTTGGAGAGGAGTATAAGTTGCCGGTGGTGGTGGGCTGGGTTCGGGTGCTGGAGATGTGGCAGCAGATGTTTCCTCGGCGGCGGGGGCTCGTTTTCGGGGGGCTCGCGCACGAGCAGATCGTGAGCCAGCTACTCGAGCAGGCATTGAAATAACCAAAGTTGAGCGATTCTAAGTGGATTTCAAGGTTGGGGGGGGGGGGTGAGGTGCAAGATGGCGGTTGTTTGTTTTCTGATTCCAATTGTCTGAACACCGGTCAGACAGCGCAAAGTAAACATAAGAAGGTAGATGGTTTGTTGTGGTAACCGCCCCGCTACCGTACGGTATCTAATCAGATTGCTCCCCACAGATTTATCAGATACCTGTACGTACTATATAATACCGATATCCCGCAGGCAGATAAATTTGACTATCCCACCTTATCTATCGCTCCCGAAATCAATCAAGGCGAAATCAGCTAACGCTTCCAAGAGTCGCGTGATCTCCAAGCTCGCGGGTACCTCATTCTCTTCTTCCTCGTCTCTCTATTTCTTTGTCTGCTTTTTCCCCCACCTCACTGTCCCCATTCTACACCACCCCCTCCTCTCCCTTGGCTTTCCGTTTTTCCTCACACCATGCTCCGCTTCGGTCTCCGCCGTTTTGCAACGGCTGCTGAAGCCGCAAGCCCCTATGGAATCAAAGTCTCGAAAGCCCAAGGTAGTGTGAACGGCTTTGTTGGAGGTTTGTCAATTTCTTGTCACTAGCAAATTCAACCACCCCAAATTTGAAACTAACCCGACAGCTATCGGAAATACGCCTTTAATACGGCTCGGCAAGCTCAGTGAGGAGACTGGTTGTGATATCTATGGAAAAGCGGAGTTCATGAACCCAGGCGGCTCAGTAAAAGGTGCGCCCCCCGACAGCAAATATTCCCACCGGTAATACATTAATAACACCCATAATATAAAAATCGCAGACAGAGCAGCACTGTATGTCGTTAAAGATGCGGAGGAGAAGGGTCTCATCAAGCCAGGCGGAACCATTGTAGAAGGCACCGCAGGGAACACAGGTATCGGACTTGCGCATGTGTGCCGGTCGAAAGGTTAGCCCAATTTTTTGCAATTGGTGATATCGAGGGTCAAGCTGACCTTCTTCAAACGATCAAAGGGTATAAGTGCGTAATATATATGCCCAATACCCAGTCACAAGGGAAGATAGACCTTCTCCGATTATTGGGTGCTGAGGTATTCCCTGTACCAGCTGGTAAGATGCTTATCCGGCAGAAACTGTTCCGAGGGACGCTCCTAACGCTTTCCTAGTGGCTTTTGAGGACCCTGAAAACTACAATCACCAGGCCAAACGCCACGCTGGTGAGCATCTCTCCCCCCCCTCTCATCCCCAATCCCAAGCCTAATTATCCTTAGAAAAAACCGAGAACTCAGTTTGGACAAACCAGTTCGATAATGTTGCAAACCGTCGTTCCCATATTGAGACAACAGGACCGGAGATCTGGACCCAGCTCGGCGGCAAAGTCGACGGCTTCACGTGTGCAACTGGTACTGGCGGAACACTCGCAGGCGTTACGCGCTACCTCAAAGAAGTGTCTGACGGTCGCACTGAATGTTGGCTCGCCGACCCTCCCGGCTCAGTCCTCTTCTCCTACATTACTTCCGGTGGAAAACTCAGCGAGCGCACTGGGGGATCTATCACTGAAGGAATCGGCCAAGGGCGCATAACAGACAACCTCAAACCCGAGATCAAACTTATCAATAACGCACTGTATATCTCGGATGAAAAGTCCATCGCAATGGTCTACAGACTTCTCGACGAAGAAGGATTGTACATGGGCGCCAGCAGTGCCTTAAATGTTGTCGCAGCTTACGAGCTCGCCCAGAAGCTTGGCCCTGGAAAAAGTGTAGTCACTCTACTGTGCGATGGTGCCTATAGATACGCGGATAGGCTTTTTAGCAGGAAATGGTTAGATTCCAAGGGCTTGTACGAAGCGATCCCGGAACACTTAAGGAAGTACATTGTGCTGGAATAAGGGCGAACAGTAGATAGAACAACACTATCAAACGGCGGATACGCTGGGTAGATTGGAGGCTTGTAAATACTTTAGGGTGGCGGCGTTCCTCTCAGCGGTGGCCAACAAATACATTTGAATCCTCGTTCAAAGGGAGAAAGCCAGAATCATTCATTATCACTCGACATATCAGAGAATGCCTCAAAGGCCATAAAAAGACCCCCGGGGCCATGTCTTGCTCAATCCAACGAAACGTTCCATCTGTCCTTTACACAAGACTAACCCCCACGAAAGTCAAAATCCTCTACACAAAACCGACATAAGATATCCCTTCACCAAGCCGTAACACCCCCCTCGTAAAACACACAAAAGTTATACAGCCTTTCCCCACAAAGAGCCAAGGCAACCTGACAGAACACCCCACACCAACCCATCCGCCCCCGGCAAAGCCTGAATAACGCTGTGCCGTGCAGCAGAAGGTATGGCATAACACTGCACAGGAATTCGAACGATAAAGGCATTCAAGTCACGAGCCTTAACATATCCCATCGGTTCCGCCCTGCGGTGACAACTTGTACCATTCTGGGTTAGGCTCCAGGGTTGTTTGGGGACGATTTATGGTGTTGGGATGGACATTGCTTGCGTATGATACCGTAGACTACCGGCAGTCTAATACCGGGATTCCTGATGGATACTAAAGCACAGGGACAAAAGGGTTCGTCCCGCACGGCAACAACAACCCCACAACCACAAGGGGTTTTCAAAGTTAAAAGGGTTGAAAAAAGTAGCGTATCATACTCCGTACGTCTGCCTTGCCGTACATGGGGGACCACAACTAATTCATAAAATGTCTTAAATAGCAGGGCCCCGTAGAAAAATCTGTTACCCACAGATCTCTACAAATCCCCACAGATCCCCATAGATCCATGTCGTGCTCGAGCGAATACCTGTAGTCCTTTACCGTCACCTACAGTCCTTGTACCAGGACAGCGAAATTATGTCTTACCATGTCAGGCCCGCGGCCTGTGCCAAAACCTGCGGTCCCCAATATTGTCTAGACTAGACAGACTATGAATTTGTAGTCCCGTTCAGTCCAGTCTTCTTGGCAGTCTCCCCATAGGGCCTCCCGGGCCCCCGGACCATTGCGAAAACTGCTCAAGCCATAGTATGGCATCTTCCAACAGAGCACTAATACTGTAGGGAAGGTGCGTACACTCCCGATATGGAGAAGGTTTGCTGTGCCCCTGTCATTGTCTGAGACCCAGATCAAGAGGCAACAGTATTAATTACTACAAGGTCACATATTCGTAGATGTACGTCGTACAAATCCCAGTTGTGAGGGTCCCATTCTTTGGGTCTGTTAGCGGCCCCTGCTAATCCCCTCCCTCGTCCTCCTCCCCTGCCTCCCCATCATCATTAGCATCTCCATTATTGGCATGTGCATTAGCAACCGAATAACCTCAATTAGTAGGTTCTGTAGGAATTCTAGCGAGGATGGAGAACTGCCCACCGGTAGCGGTGAAAGTCATCCTGACACCTCTGGTGGCCATGTTTTCAATCCTTGTAGGGGTCATGATCTTGTCATCAGCATCAAGCCAGAGGCTGGTTTGATAACTACAGTACCACTGAAGGCTCAAGAGTATGCTTGTCCCTCCATCGAGATGGTAACATTGTGGCCCATGCTACAACCAATGGTGGAGAACCTGATGCTGGGGACAGCATGTGGGGTCCTGAGGTAGCGAGGGTTGCCCCTTGTGTCACGGACGGTGTCTTCCGCTGGGAGCACCGCAGGGTCAATCCCGAGCTGTCCGCCGTCAAGACGGCCCCAGACGCGCTGCCCCGAGTGCCTGCTTGCCCCAGATACTACATTATGAACCTCTGCGGGGCTCAAGACCAGCTATTGCGTAAGTAAATGATTATTCTCCTTCCCCCCCTCAAAAAAGAAAAATACCTAAAACCTTCCACCTCAATGAGACCTTCCACTACGAGCACTGTGCAAAGCTTCACGAAAAATCTAGCGCTTACGCGCATCTGCCCGGTTCATCATAGGTACTGTACTTGTACAGTACCCTGCGACGCTCACATCGAACTCCGTGTATACGCCGGATCGAACTTCCTCCCTTCCCCCACCCCCAAAACCAACCCTATGATTTTCGGGGAGGTGCAATTCTGGGGTGAGTGAAATGGGCCTCCCGGATTAGATACGGTAGACTCAGTCGGGAATCCCACAAGTGGTCTATCCGCACCCAAATGCCAAGGCCCACCAGGAGCGCAGATCCCTGGCGCCATCCGCAGGTGATTCGGTGACATTCGTAAACTACCGGTACTGAAGGATCAGCAAGAGCCTCAGAATTTTGGTGCTATGCAACAGCAGCCTTTCCCTTGCAAAATGTCAGATCATCGTGAATAGCGTGCCGCGCCAGTATGATACGAGTATGGAATTCTCGTGGTCTTGTCTCATCACCCCTCGCGCTCCACTTCTTGAGGCCACGCTTCCTCCCCCACTCCGTTTACTTCGTGGCATCTTCGCAGGCTGCGGAAGGACGAATGCCCGGTATCAGACAAAAAAATCAGTAAAGCCATACTCAAGCGCAACGACCGACGGCGCATCTACAAGGTAACCTATATCCAAGCACAACGGACACTGAGAATATATTTGCTGGCCTTCGAGATTGATTTCCCCTTGTTTCCCTTCTAGTGCCAGTACGGAAGGACATGTGCACGCACCGGGCAGAGTGCCCCCAACACTGGACAATATGCGATTTAGTAGCAGTCCATCAGCTATTGGTATGTGCCAGTTAATGGTGTGCTTGCGGCCCCCGGGACAGTAAGTAGTTATTAGCTCAAGAGTGAAATAAAATTTAAAGAAAGGTTCCTGAACCGCCCCAAAGAGGAGTCAAGGGACCAGGGTACAGTATGATATCACTTTCGAAACCTCCCATCGTAAAACATCGCGGGCAGAGATCGACCATAAGACCCGCTATAGTCTACCCGTATCCAGGCAATGCACCCAGCCCGGTGAAACTAGAAGCCATTGGCAGCACTCCCCAGCAGCGCACCCAAGAGAGGGCGTCGATAATCCAAGGGCCAGTAGTGGACCGGCTCGGTGTGGGAAAGGAGACAGCGCAAGCCCATCCATCAATCGACATCCCATCCCCAATGGCGAATAGGCACCATGCGGGTGCGATCACAGCACCACAATTAATTATCCAAAGGCCAGAAGGAAAAGGTTAAGGATCCGGGCCCCACCCGGTGGTACGGCAGAGTTCAAACACCACGGCAACTACAAGGTCCGCATATCGTGTATGCACTGATAGGAAGGCATAAGGTTATAGCGACTTAAAACGAACAGAGAAATAATATCATGATGTATCCAGTTAATTTGGATAGATTAACTTAAATTTAGCTCCTATCATGCAAATACAGCGCACTGTGAGACAAAATAATGAGCCCGTGTCTGGTAATGCTCTTCATATCGTATCATGCCGCATCCGATCAATAGGGCCAGTGACCAGCAACATTCCCATCCGACTACCAATCACCTGAAATATGACACACACACACGCCAAGCCGCGCCAAGCAAGGGGTGCAAATTTTGGGCTATAAATTGGTGGCCCCTCCCCCGCTTCCATCCTTCCCTTCTCCTCCTCCACACACCCACCCCACCTCAAGTGTCGCTTTGTCTTGACTATCTGTTTTTTGTTCCTGTTTCTGATTTTTGTCATGATGAACTGTTGATAATTTATTTGCTCTGCTGTTCTCTGGAAGCTCGGCTGACAGGCTTGTGTTCAGGCTCCCACCTAGTAAAACAGATAAGAAAAGTCATCCTTCTACGGATGCTCACGAAACGAAACGTAATGGAATGAACCCAGAGTCATCCAAACGCACTTCTCCAAAGGCCTTCTCTGGTCCGGTGAACCCGGCACCATCGGCACAATCCACACTGAAATTGGTACAGGCAACGGTGGCTACCGGACCTGTTACCCCACGAAAAAGTCCAGCTATCAGCTGGCACTGAGCGGCATTGCGCTTCTCTCTCGGATCTCCTCACTGGCCATCACGTTTCTTCGGAGCGTGAACCGTGAGGTCGGTTAAGGAGTTTTTTTTTTTAAAAGCCTAGTCTCGGGACAGGCAAATAAGAATCTTATTCCTATACCCGCTCGGGGGTCTTTCCGAGCCTGAAATAAAAATTTAAACCCCTCTAAAACCCTTCCCCCGACCCGGGAAGAAAAAAAAAAAGTATGTTCCCCGATCAACACCCCAATTGATTCTTTCCCAATAGAAACTAACAGATGGCGAATTAGGACAACCGGCGTTTTGATGTGACCCGATCCGCGCGCATTCAAGCCAAACGTCCCCAAGAAAAGTACGGGGGGGTCATGTAAGTTTATCCCCGTTTCCTTTCAAGCTTTTTCCATCTTTTCGCTTTCCCCGTTTCCTATCTTTCACACTTGGATACTTGGGGTTGGGCTATAAAAACATTTGTAATTAGAGGAAATGGAAGAGAAGATCAGGGAATTGTGATGAATCTGTATGGGACTCGCTCCCGCTCCACACTTGTTCCTCCCTTCTTCCAGGCACGTTTATTCGAACCCACTTTATTCGTCCCAGCGATACAATAAGAACAAATTTACCAATCGCCATAGCAAACTGAGCTCTTGCGCCTCCCAAGCTGCGTTATCTGTGAAGCATTGCAGCGGTCCCAAGGCTATCACAGCTAGCAAGAGCTCTAAGATTCTCGTAGGCCAGTAGAGGACACGGTAGCGCACAGCTCTCTCGGCTCCGGCAGTCACGGCGCTGTTGCCCCAATACAGGTGCCACCGAAAAAGTGAGTGGACGCGTGGGATTTTACACCAAAAATGGTCAATTTCAGACACTTATTCCAGCACCAGTACCACAATTAAAAATAAGATAACTTCATAGCATGTTCAGAAAGGCTGTAGACTGCTTGACTTCTATTGAATCTTTGACTGAATTTAAATTATCTGAGGAGTAGTAGTGGAGGGAAATAAAAGTTTCCTCAAAACTGCGCCAAGACCATATTTTTTGGTGAGAAAGCTGTGTCTTGGCAGAATTTGAAAGTTCAACTGCATACTGCTCATCAGGGAATTAAATTCCTTTGAGGTTTCAAAAGAGGTTGAGTAGCCTGGAGCTTTCTGATCATT